CCCAGATGCTCGTTCCCTCCACAGCCTCCTCGGGCATGCCCGAGGGCCACGATGCTAGAAGAATTCTCGTAAGGCAAGAGCATCGTGCGTCCCAACCGAGTCTTGTCCCGGATGCTGGATCAGAGGACGGGGGCATCGCTGAGGGAGAATAAGGAGCGCGGCTCCCTTGAGCGTGGCTTTCTTGTCCTCGCTCTTGTCCAGGTTGTGGCAGAGGGAGGAGAGAACTTTGTAGAGGGCAGCTTTCTTGTGTGCGCTCTTTTTTTCTCCTTCCGCCTCGACACTTCTTGCTCCAAAGTGTAGAGCAGTCCCGGGGCTGTTCACGCATGCTTTGCGTGATATTGTAAAAGTCTAGGGCCGTTTACGCACGCTTTGCGTGATATTGTAAAAGCCTGGGGCTTCTGTTTTTAGCTCAATGAAAGCTTACATTGTTATATGTTTCCTGTGCCCATTGCGCCGTGGAGGCAGGCTGTTATTGGAACTTTGGTGTTTCTCCCTTGGTTTGCTGCGCCGCGTAAGTTAGCTGAGTAGGATCGGGCGCCCAGCCCTCGAGGGGAGGACTGGCAGAGGCAACGGAGGCGCGCTGAGCAGGTATAGGCGCCCAGCCTCCGAGGAGAGGACTTGTCGGTAGTCCGTCTTCTGTCGGGTTCACGCGAGTGGACCCGGTGGGTCTAGCTCCCGAGCCTACAGCTGACTAGGGAGTCAGTCGGAGGCTAAACTTTTCCAAGGTCATGGACTTCTGTGTCCCCATCTGTCGGTATGAGACAGTCCTTATCGCAAGTTGGGGCGTTCACCCGTGTGCGTTCCGACCGCGACCTGTGTCACTAGTCGGACTCCCGAGTCGGGATCTGGCGGCCTGAGCCCCTAAACCCCAAGGGGTCGGTCAGGGGCGGTCGCGTGTTTTTCTACGTCACCCCGTCCACGGTTTCCACAACTAGAGGGGCTGAGCTAATGCCACTTGCCTCGATGGCTCGAGTGGTGGTCTCGGTGAGCTCCTAACAGGCATGTCTAAGTGAAATCCGGGTCCATCGTTCATGACGGGGTCGGCATAGCCCTCATGTGGCATTACACTGCTCCTTGACCCACCTCCCAGTAGGTGCCCGAGCTGTCCGACCGACTCGGGTGGCCCGCTGGCCTCTGCTCGACGGAGATTCTGTGGGCATGGCTCGAGGTCCAGATCGAACGAGAAGTTGAGATGACCCTGTCCTCTTCTAAGTAGGACGGGCAAAGGCCGCTGGGGCTCATCTGCTTTTCCCCTGGCTCCGTTTGACACAAGGCGGCCTCGAGTCCTTCGTGGACTGGCCTTCGCACCTCAGTCAGTCGTGGCTCATTTCGAATGAGCCGACTATTGCCTTGTGACGCAACGCAAAGCAATGTGATGCGATGATTATATGCATGAGATGAATGTATGGATGAATGAATGAATGTATGCATGCATGAGATGAATGGATGAATGAATGCTCATGCACTAGGAAAGAGAACAGAGGGTTGGTAAAATTACCTCGGTCGGGTTTTCAGGCATCGCCCCATCCGCGGTTTCCGCAACCGGAGGGGTTGAGCTGACGCCACTTACCTTGATGGCTCGAGTGACAGGCTCGGAGAGCTCCTAACGGGTATGTCTAAATGGAATCTAGATCTGTCATTCGTGACGGGGTCGGCATAGCCTTCGCGTGGCATTCCACTGTTCTTTATCCATCTCTCAGCAGACGCTCGAGCCGTCCGACCGACTCAGGTGTCCCGCTGGCCTCTCTCTGATGGAGATTCTAATGGTGGGCCCCTCGAAACCCTGCCTGGGAAGGCGGAGGGTATTTCGCATGCGGCTGCGCCTTGTTTCTTGCGCCCCTATTGCGGTAGCGGGTGGGCCCCACCCAGGCCACATTCCATCAGCCAAGCCACGTCCCATTGCGCAGTGTTCCCCATTAAATAGGGGGAAGGGCCAGGTTTTTTTCTCCCATCCTTTCGCCTCTCTTCGACCGCTGTCGCTTCCCCCTCATTTTCGCCAAGCTTCCTCATGCGCCGCAGCGAATCTTAGGAGAGAGGAGGGTAGAGCGTGGGAGAGAGAGATCTTACAGATTCGTTCGTCGATCCGGCGCGCAATGTCGAACTGGAGGCCTTCCAACGTGCATGAGGACTTTCTGGCCGCCTTCGCGGAGAAGGGGCTACTTCCATCGAAGGAGGTGGCGCACTGGAGGGCTCCTAAGCCGGGGGAAGGTGTTTCGCAACCCCAGGCCAACGAGGTCGTCTCCTTCCTTGCCTTCCACGAGCGCGGGCTCGGGTATCCCGCGCACTAGTTCCTGCGTGGGCTTCTTAACGAGTGGGGCTTGGAGCTGCAGCACCTCAACCCGAATGGGGTACTGCACATCGCCGGCTTCATCACCATTTGTGAAGCCTTCCTCGGGATGGGGCCGCACGTGGATCTTTTCCGGTGGATCTTCAGCGGGCGGGCTCTGTCCGAATAGAAGGGGAAAGCGCACGGAGCCGCTCCGGTTGGCGGGTTTGCCCTACAGAAGCGGCCCAAGTTTCCAGTTCCTTACCTGTCATACTCCCCCAACGATTCAAATAGGGGTGGCATAGTGAGTGGTTCTACATTAGGAACCTAACTGAGGCGCCATTCCCGAAGTTCACCGGGGGGAGGCCGGAGAAGAGGGATAGCTGGACGTGGGGTGCTGCTTTTCGTCAAATGAACCAATTGGAGACCATCGAGGTGGCACTACGGAAGCGCGTGCAGGAGGGACTCAGCGTGGTGTGGGTCTTTGAGACCTTCGTCCGTCGTCGGATTGCCCCGTTGGCGGAGAGAACATGGCCGATGTGGGAGAACTCCGGCGTGTCGGATCCCGACCGCGTGTCGCCGGAGGCGTTGTCGGGGAGCGAGGTCTGGGGATGCCTTGATCGAGTGTTGCAGTTGGGGTGGCAACCGACCCTCGATGGGATGTCCGGACCCTTCCATGCCGAGAGGCGGTCTGACTTAGTACGTTTCTTTCCCGTGACCCTTTTCTTTTTCATTTTGATCTCTCGATTGATTCTGAGTCATCTGTTTTGTAGGGGCTCAAATGTTTCAAGTCCCAACCACATCTCCTGAAAAGGGTGGAAGGCGTGGCTTAGGAAGCCGCCCAGAAGGAGGCCGCGCCTGCCAGGAAGAAGAAAAGGGCCGCGGAGGTCCAGAGGAAGTTCGACAAGGCCTAGGAGATCAGTCGGTGGGTCCGTCGTGGTGAGCTCTAGGAGGACGTGGAGGCGGAGCTCGATTCGGACGACTCCACGGAGTCGGGCGACAACGCGAGTTCCTTGGAAGATGAGGAGGACGGGGGGCGCCACCGCGACTTTGGTGGAGCGCCGCGAGCCCGAGGCTGCGCCTATCGGCGATGGGCGCAGTATGGGAACGCGCTCTGACGCCCCTGAGTCAAGGAAGCGTGCTACAAGCGAGGATAGCCTCCAACGCTGACATGCCGTCTTCTTCATTGTTGGTGCCCTTGTCAACAGCATTCCAGAGCCGTCGGGCTCTGAGCTTGACCTTCATGGTCACTGCCCACTCTCCATAGTTGTTGCTAGTCAGCGTCGGCCAACTGGTGCCGCTGACCTCCCGCACCGTGCGAACAACGACCTCCTGTCGTGGCTGGGCAGCCATAGCAGTGCCACTGCTGTCGCCCAACTCCAAACCGTCTGTCATCGCCAGCGGTTAGTCTGGCGACGACGCTTGTACGGCTCTGATACTACTTGTTGGTCCACAGGATCACCGGCTCAGGTGAGTCGACCACTCACCAGTCTTGCCGACCACGACAAATGTTGTCCGACCACACACTATGGCTAAAGGTAGAAGAAGAGAGGGAGAACAGAGCATACACACAGCATGAGCACCAGAGTTGACCGGAGCTCTGCAGAGGAGATGGTAAAACTGAACTCGCTTTTTATTGAGTTGCAGTGGCAAACTATATATATACAACTCTACCCATCTAGTTGTAGTACAGCTGCCATGCTGCTACAGTGACTAGATAAGACAGCAGGGCTAACTTTGGCGCCTGCCCTTGCTGCGGCTACAGTGCGGCAGGTGAGCCATTCGGCGTCTCCCCTGCAGCGGCTACAGTACCACAGCAGGGAGCCTTTTCGGCGCCGCCTTCCCCTGCCATGTGTTCACACAGGGATGTAGCAGATTATCTAACATTAAAGTGCTAAAGGAATATGTCATTGAGATCAGCTCTTGCTCTATTTCTGTTCTCTGGGTATCTGTAAAGATTAAAATCTCCAAGAAATATCCAGTCCTCATCATTGGGAATATCCAGACTTTTCAACCTAGTTGTAAACTCCCGTTTACCTTCAGGGGTGCAAGGTCCGTAAACATTCACTGATGTCCAGGAATTGTCATTGTGTTTTGAGGTGAAATCAAGTGCCAAAGCATAACCACAGGAAAACCTGAGAGACCCTGCAAAGAAGATGGACTTCCAGGCAACAAGCAGACCACCTGAGGCTCCAACAGAGGGAACAAAGAGGTGTTCATCAAAGGCTGGTGGGAGAATATTTCTGAGAAAGGCCTGATCAAAATCATCTTTCTTAGTTTCTTGAAAACAGACTATATCACAGTTAGAATTTAGAACTTTCTTCTTCACAGAATCCCATTTTCTAGCTGCACTCAAGCCTCTTACATTCCAACACAACACAAGCCAATTTCTGTTTAATGACTGATTCATGATAGAAACAAAGATTTTAGATTTCCTTGAATCTTAAATTTGTCTTCCTTAAAGCTGCCTAGCAAACAGACAATAGAAAAACATTGTTCTTAGGCCCAGTCTGACCATACCAACAAATCCAGAAGAAAATAAAAGTTCTTATCAAAAGGAACTGAGACACTAACAGTAACATAAAAGAGATACATCACTGGGGCAGCAGACCAAACAAAAGTTAACATCCAGAAATCTTTAGGTATCATTTTCTCAGCTATCATATTCTCTTATCAGCTTCTAATCTGCCTTCCCTGGGCTTTTCTGCACATCTTCTGGCCCATCTTCAGAAGGCTACTCCTCACTGTTTCCTTGATTGGTGGGAGCTGAGGAGCATTCAGCTACTATGATTCTTGCTCTTGCAACTGGATAGGGTTTCTTCCTTTTGGCCTGCAATAGATCATCATTGATCTCAGTGTCATTTAGCTTGCAAAATTCATAGGCCAGCTTTTTGATAGCTTCTTTTTTCAAAATTGGTGGGTGAGAAAAACAAGCTAGTCATTTTTTATTTGAGCAGTCATTTGATTTGAAGCCTTTTGCAGAGTCTTTTAATCTAGGGCTTCTTCTTACCTCTGTCTCTACTATTGCAATAGCTCTTTTGTGGTTCCTTTTCTTTTTGTCCGGTGAGGCGCTGCCTTGTTCAGAGTTGGCAGTGTCCAGACCAGTTGCTTCATCAACTGACAAACAAGAAAAGTTGTTATCTGGGCAGGATAAAGGGACTGAGAACTGTAAGACACCATTTCCACTGTCTAAACAATTTGGTTTTTCGGATGAAAGAAGTTGCTTAGACCAAAGAAAGCTCTCTGGGGACAACAGCAGTACCGTGAAAAAATTGACCCAGGGTAGAGGAATATTAACACAGAGGCCCGATGGGTTACCTGAGGAGAAAAACTGTGCCCAAAGCCTAGTAGCCTCTGCATTCCTTGCTTGTGTCCAGGCTGGATCAGCTTCTTCATTTCTTATTAAGGCCATCCCAAGCTGAATGTTATTGTTCTGGATCTGGGGCTGATTGTGTAGGTTGTTTTCTGCTATCAGAGCATCAAAAATTTCTTCTTCATTTGGCATGATCTGGTTTTCCCACTGTGGAGCCACTTGCTCAATTGCTTGCTGGTTCTGTTGTCCATTTCCTTCCCCTATCTGTTCTGGAATTGGATGTCCTTGCTCTGGAAATCCTTCATCTTCAGGACCAACCAATTGATCTAGAGGAACCTCTTCCATTATCCAGTTGACTGGGGGTGCTAGATTAATAGGTAGGTTTTGTAGCTGTTCTTGGTGTATCTCATCAGCTAACTGCATCAGTTCCACTTCTTGTTCCTGAGGATTCAACAGATAGACCTCATTCTCATGCTGCAGTAGGTGTTGCTCCTGCACATTCTCTTGGAAGTCATTGATTTGTATGAATTCACCTTCCTGGGCAGGCTGCAAAGGATTTATTATAACTGCATGAAAATCCATATCTAAAGGTGGTTGATTCAGATCAAAATTTTCCGCCTCCTCTGGCTGGATCATGACATTCAAGTTCAGGGCCTGATCTTCATTTTGGGCTTCCTACATTTCCTTGTCTTGGGCCTGCACTTCTTCAGGCCATGGGTCCCAGGCATTCTGCTGTTGCCACTGATTCTGCTCATGTTGATGATTTGGCCCATTAACAGGCTGTCCTAAGCCAAAGAAATCAAAGGGTGGGCCAAGTTCTAGATTAAGATCAGGGATTGCATCTTCATCCGGAGGACCTTCCCCTTGGGGTTTATGCTGCAAAACCTCACATTGAATTGTCCAGGATTCCCCATCTATCCTGTCTGGATCTTCATAAACTATGAAATGAGGCACCTTCTGAACATCTTTAACTCTAGCTCTGACCAGTATACGGGTCAGAAATCTGTCATCTGCCTCCCATAACAAAACCTTTGCAAAGGAGCCTACTGCACTCTGGACATGACGTTCAGAGTGATAGTCCACTACTGGAAACAGTAGCTTTGCCGAGAAAAACACTCGGCAAAACCTTTGCCGAGTGTAACACTCGGCAAACGGCACTCGGCGTACACAGAGTCGGCAAACTTTTCTTTGCCGAGTGTTTTTTGTCGGGCACTCGGCAAAGACTTTGCCGAGTGCTAAACCGGCTCTCGAAAAAAAAAATCGCCTCTTTGCCGAGTGTGGTGCCACATAGATTGAAAAAAAAACAAAAACGAAGGTGATGTAAATGGGTACTGAACTGCATAAGCTATTACTGTACATGACCATGTCACGTACTATATTTTCGAAGGACTAACAAAGTAAATGTTCACACACAGGATTATTAAAAATATATTTCCCTGAATTCCATTATGCTAAAAGATAGAAAGAAAAGAAAAACTCTACACACCATATATTCTCCCTTGTAATCTTCTCGGCAACAAACACCGTCTCTCTACGCTTGCAGATCTGGAGAAGAGAAACCAATGAATTTCTAGTATCAGCAGGAGCAGCATAGATCATCACGCCATGCACCGGTTGTAACTTAGTCATCATACGGGTCAAATTTCACAAAGCTTCTTGCATCTGGGAGCAAAGGATGCTTAATGGGTTTGTGCCCTTTCTTGTACCAATAACTGATGAGGTATGCCGCTAGTTTCCTAACCTGAGAAAGCAGAATATTATCACAAATCAGTAAGAACTACGTTACAGGCGGTCATCAGGCATCATAGAATAAATAAATAGTCAGAAACACCATATGCTCGAGCATTATCTTTAATAAAAAATAATCAGCAACAAATACTTTAGAATGTCTAAACTTCTAATCCACAAGCTAATGTTGAGGACCCTTATATCTATTTGCCAAATCTGGTGTGACTGAATAAAGAATATGATCAGGAACCATGGTCTAAGAACATGAACAAGCCTTTTTAACTGCAACTTCTATGGAACATGACACTGAATCAAGAAAAGGAGAGCGGTGTCCAATCTAAACAAGCCTTTTTAACTGCAATTACGACAGCCATCTCCTCTCCCAACCCCAACCATCAGCAAAATTCGACTCATGAATTACCACTAAAACATTTTGGTGCGAGATACAAAACATTGGACGCACACCCAACCATCATCATAGGTTTCATTGTATCTCGCGCTAAAACATTGGAACAAAAAAATCAAGAAAAGGAGAGCTGTGTCCAATCTCTTAGCAAAAACATAGCTTTCAGATAGGTATGTTATACAGTATATAATGATAGTCAGAGGCACAAAGACAAACCATCTACTTAAACAATGTAGAGGCTAACCTTTTTCATGTTGCTATAGGACAGCAGGTATTTGGCCCGGTAGGTAAGAATGTTGCCAACCATTGGAGATTAATACACGCACAGCTAGGGGAGTCATTAAGCTTTGATCTGATAACATTAAACCATGAAAGGGTCTAAATAAATCATTAAGAACCGCATGTTACTATTTTCTTAAGCATAAAACTACAAAAGCCAACATTGAAGATGAGTAGTTCCATAGCATAAAACTGGGTGTGAAAATTTAACTTTGTTACCCACTCAATTGAGCAACAACTAAGAAATTTGTAGGGCGAAGGTTTACTGAAGGAAAGGATGCAATCATAATTTTTGTTCTATATTTACTAAGGCTAAATATAAATAAAAAGTTGAGCAGGCCAACACAAGCACTGATCATACGAACACATCCATCAAGCTAAACAAAGATCATGCACCGACATGGTAGAAAAGGATCCACTAAATTAATATATAGGTAAAACAAGCTGATAATTCTAAGAACAAATCGGAGCAAATACAGGAAGAAAAAATTGTGTAGCATCCTCACCTGTCTTGCTGTTATGGGCATTGTATCAAACACATCATATGCAGTTGACAAAAGAGTGCGAGAGGACGCCACATCCCTCGATGCCAGACGGTGCGAGAGGACGCCACCAGGCCAGATCCGGTGGGGGAACGAACGGATCCAGCCACGGAGGTCCTGGATCTGGTCGTGGAGGCCCCGGATCGACCCCAGGAAAGGTGGCCGACAAGCATAGACTGACGGTTGACCCCGGCGCCGGCGAGTGAAGGAGAGGAGGAGCAAGGGAGAAAGGCCGCCTTCACCTGGGGCTACTCGCACCGGAGTCCTCGCCAGTCGCCCGTGCCTGAGCCGCTGCATGGGGCTTGCTCACGCCGGGGCGCCGGCAGCCTCAGCGCCTGGACCCGCCTGCGCCGGCGACTTCCTCGCCGGGCGCCGGGGGGCGCGCTCGCGGGCCGCGCCCCGCTGAGGGTTCGCTCCGCCCGCACCCGCGGCCAGCGGCTGGGCCCACCCTAGCCGGTGCGGCGCCATGGGCACCCTCGCCCTGCGCCCGTCGAGAGAGAGAGAGAGCGTCGGGATAGAGAAAGGAAGCAGAGAGTAGAGGAGTGGGGAAGGGGAGGCGCCGGCGGGGAGCGCCGGAGGATAGGGAAGAAGTAAGGCTGAAGTTTTGTGTTTTTTTGTATGGAAGGACCTGGAAGGAGAATCGGAAGCCAGCAGCCGGATGCGGGGTATAGGGGGGGTTCCCCATCTTTGCAGAGTGTCACACCAAGGGCACTCGGCAAATCTAGTTTTTTTTTCATTTTCTTCTTTTCCATAACGTGTTTTTCTAAATTTGTTCCGATGTACTTTGAAAATACCTTGTCAAATTCACTTAACAATATATATTTGATTTTTCTACGAATATTATTCCATTATTTTATATAGTTATAGCTCAAATACAATTTATATCAATTAAAATTCTATAATTGCACTTAATAAATTAAAATTATCAAATGGATCCAAAAAATTACCAAAATTTCACATGAAACAATCTATATTCTCTATTACCTATAAAAAAAGTTTTGAAGTCAAACCCCAATTCGACCGTCACTTTGACTCCAAATCTTACAGAATCCTTCTAAACGCTATGATTCTTCTTCTGAGATGCTTCGGTTTGTAAACATCGTACGTGACAAAATATGTGAAACCTTCTCAATTTTTTACCACAGCCTCCACATATGATATCATCACATCATGACAAATCTCATGATTTTCAAACTTTGTTTGCTTTTTTTAGAATTTAAAAACCATCCGGCCACACGTTCGTGGTCGTGTTTCCTAAACGAGATATTTGAAATTTCTTTTTGTTTTCAAGATAAGGCCTCACACTGGACTCAATAACATGACTATTATTTTTCTACTCATTTTATTCTATTATTTGAATCACTTGCTGTTCAAATTTGACTTAAACCAAAAAATTTCTTGAAATGCAATAAATTAATTAAATATAGCAAACAGATCCAGAAATATACCAAATTTTAACATGGAGTACCACATGTTGTATGTGGAGAGTAGAAAAAGTTTTAAGATCAGAAGAAAAAAAAACTTATTTCTTTACCGAGTGTAAAAAAACGCTCGGCAAAGATATTGTTTGTCAAGTGCCAAAAAAAACACTCGGCAAACCCCCTTCTTTGCCGAGTGTGTTTTTTTTTTTTTGCACTTGACAAACCCCCTTGTTTGCTGAGTGCAATTATTTTGCCGAGTGTTTTTCGTACAGCACTCGGCAAAGAAGAGGGTTTGCCGAGTGTAGCACTCGGCAAACCCCCTTGCACTCGGCAAATTGACTGTTTCCGGTAGTGGTCACTTGGGAACCCCAAAAGCAGAAGCCAACACTCATGATTAAACAGAGCCCTCCGCCAGTTTCTCCCTCCATCATGCTTATGGAAAGTGACACTAACATTATCAAACGGGTGAGGGCTCTCTTGAACTAGAGTGTTACGATCATAAGTATGGACAAATTTCACCAGAGCCTGACCCAGATGAGAAGGCTGAATATCTTGGTAGGCAACATGCTTTTCAAGCAGGAAGTCTCTAATCACACCTCTAACCGCCCCCAAAGTGAAGAGCATTACCAGGTAGCGGGTTGATGGTGACGATTGCAAGGTCTTCGTTCATCGCCGGCGCAACAGCACGAACCATGAAGTCACGGTTTGGGATGTCTTCATGCTGCATGTTCACCGGGATGATGGGCTCAGGATCAGCACGTTGGAATGCCATGTCTGCGCTGAACGGAGCAGATTGTTGAGGCTGGGGCAAGGTGGGATGGTGAACTGCAGTGGGGTTTTCTTGACTTTCTACTGATGCCGAGCAGCTGGGAGTACGACAGGTAGACGAAGGGCCATATAAACTCCAAGCAGCAGGGTCAAGAGCCATATAGAAGGCTTCACTGTTTGCATTTTGGTCCCTTTCATTGGAATTGGGCCGCAGCTTCCAGGGGACAACAATTGATTGAGGCACGATTTCCTTCGCGGCCCAGGAAGCACGGGCCAATTCACCGAGAGAATTGATGACGGGCGGATTAGAAGAGGAGGGCTGGTCATTAGCACCGAGGGCGAACCATCCAGACTTAATGACGACGGCCGCCTTTCCTTTGTTCTTGCCGGGCTCTTGTCTATCTTCATTGAAAGATACGAGATTGATTACACAGAGCAGCGACATGTCCCAATTTCCGGCACGCGCGGCAGCGGATAGGCCAGCGACATTTGAGTCGCTGATGGCCAACGGAGATGCATCTACTGCAAAGAGCTGTCAGGGATTTGTCCACCGCCCTAGTACGAGCAGGGGGCGGGAAGGAAATAGTTCAAAAACAGAGCGGCGAGCCGGAGCCGGAGAAGAACGTCGCAGGTGACGACGATTACCCAAAGGGACAGCATTGGCACCAGACAGAGTGCCAGATTTAACAGCTTCGGCAAAGGACTTGTGGCAAGGACGAACAGAGAGAGGTTGTGGCGAGGAACTCGCCTGCTTTGAAGGGGACTCGCTCCTAGCAACAAATCACCACCTCCCCTACCCCTCGTATACCCACGAACACATACCCAGTACAAAATCGATGCATGCATAAGAGCATCTGAATCTGCGGTCAGCGACGGGGTTGCGCTCGTACCGCGGAACAGGGGCGCCGCCGCGAGGTACGCCGACAGATAGGACGCTCGCTTGCGGAGATCGGCCCGCCGCTTGAGCCGCAGCTCCAGCTCCACCCGCCTTAGCTTTACCCCGCATCTGGTAAGCAGGAGGCACGGAGGAAAGGCAACTGGCACCTACGATGGGGCACCATAACTCCAGTAGCGGCAGCCATGCCCTACCCCATTTGAGCCAAAAAGAAAAAGCTCTGCACATAACCCTAACCCTAACTGTAACCTAGCCATGTCTCAACTCGAGAGAAGTAGGGGGAAGGGGAGGAGCAGATGATCGAGAACCAATCTCATCACCAGTATTAGATGCTAGAAATTGGAGCACTAGAATCGCCATGGAATTGGGAACAGCAGCTTGCGGGAGGGAGGGAGGGAGAGAGAGAGAGAGAGGAGAAATGGAGGGAGGCTGAGCGGTGCGTAGACGGTAGATGAAACGGTGCGTTCTGGACAAAATCACGGCCGCTTGTAGTTGAAACAAAGACAATACCAATAAATAAATCGGGTAGTCTGGAGGCTTTTTGAACAGGCCACGACCTATTGGACATTGCTAAAAGACAATATGGTGCCAACTCAGTTGATCTGATTTTTTATTTTTCACTTCACAATGTTCAAAAATGAACCCATAAAAATTTGAATCTGTCTAGCCAACAACCACGGTTTGTTTTAGCCCCTCCAAACAACTGATTTTTTTTTTCATACACTTATACTTTATTATAGCTATATTTACACCGTCTTATTCCTATAATTACAATGATTCTTTTTAGTGTAATTTATTAGACAGAGTGATGTAATTTTGGGAGTAACACAAATATATGCCAATTTTTTTTAAAAAAAATTACAAATCTTTTCTATGAATTTTAGATATCAGAAAAATATATATTAAATTATCCACAAATGTCATTAGATTGTTCGCAAACTTACATATTTACAGATAGAAGCGGAGACCGCCTGCATGGCTGCTCCCTCCGTTGACCGCGCGAGAGAGAGGTAGGGCCCGCGCTCTGACTGACCAAAGGGAGTGGATAGGAGGAGCTGCATGCGTTCATGGGGCCCACGAATGGTTTGACTGAGAGGGAGGGAAGCATGCTCCGCCGGCCCCGCCGGCCTGAGACCATCTGATGCCAATCGGAAGGCCCGAAAATCCGGTTGTTGGCAGCTCCCAAAACAAAATTTTGATACTGCTCCCTCCGAGTCTCTAAATATTTATCGTTTTCATTTTTTAAGAAATAATTTTAATTAAATTTATATAAAAATATTAATATTTATGATACATAATTGATATCATTAGATAGATTTTTTAATCTAGTTTTTTAATAAATTTATTTGAAGATATAAATGTTGCACGTATTTTCTATAAATCTAGTTAAACTTGTGGCACGAAAAACGAAAATGAAAGATAATAAGGGACAGAGAGGGAGTAGTCGATAACAAAATCTATTCAAAGCACAGCTTAACTCCTACAAGAAGTCAAGGTTTGCACCTTACACGATTCCTTATGTTATTCGATACCGCGCGGTAGTAGCAGAGAGAACAATCTGAGACTCTATGCTCTATATAAAAAATTTAAAGAACGTCATGACACCAGTCACCAGGCCATTGACTCACATTTATAACTCCTCAAATAAACAGGCGCACACAATACAGAAGCAAGCTACTACTGGAAACGGGATCTTTGCCGAGTGTAAACTGCTTTGCCGAGTGTTAAAAATCGGGCACTCAGCAAAGACCTTCTTTGTCGAGTGCCACACTCGGCAAAGAATTACACTCGGCAAAGATCTCTTTGCCGAGTGCCGGGCACTCGGCAAAAAAAGGCTCTCGGCAAAATTACGGCACTCGGCATAGGCTGCCTGAGTAACGGTGTTCGGCCACGTCCTTCTTTGCCGAGTGCCTATGCACTCGGCAAAGAATGTTTTTTTTAAAAAAAAAATTCTTTGCCGAGTGTCCTAGATCTGGCACTCGGTAAAGATTTTTTTTTGAAAAATACTTTGCCGAGTGCCCCCGATCTGGCACTCGGCAAAGATTTAATTTTTTTTAAAAAAAATTCTTTGCCGAGTGTCCCAGATCTGGCACTCGGCAAAGATGCCGAGTGCCCTTAGTGGAGTCACTCGGCAAAGAGGAAATTTAAAAAAAAAAATCAGAAACCTCTTTGCCGAGTGCCTGATCCTCGGCACTCGGCAAAGACCCCCTTTGCCGAGTGCCATGCCCTGGCACTCGGCAAAGATTTTTTTTTGCCTCCAAATTTTTTGTGTAGCACTTTTAAGGTACCAGTAACTCCTAGTTAGAACTTGGGGATTTTTTATGGCATTTTGATATATTTAGTTACTTTATTTCGTTTAGTTGATTTTTTTCGAAAAATATAAATTTGAACTGCACGTGGTACGAATAATGGAATTTAATGATTCAAAAAATGATAGTCATGTTACTGAGTGTAGTGTGTGGCCGTATCCAGGAACGGACCCGAAATTTCGGACATCTTGCTCACGAAACATGACCGCGAACTTGCGTGCGAAGTATTTTTAAATTCTATAAAAAACAAACAAAGTCCAAAAATCATGAAACTTGTTGAGATGTCGTGATATCGTATGTGGAGGCTATGATAAAAATTTGAGAAGATTTCGTGCACGTTGTCACGTACGATGCTTACAAACCAGGACATCTCCACATGTCCAATACTTGATGACGTGTAGGTGATTCCCTGGTGGTGCCAAACGTATCCCGAGTATTGGGCGATGATGGTGGAGAGGTGGTTCACGGAGGAGTACCTCAACATGCACAGGGATGTCCGGGAGCGTCGTTTGTAGATGCAAGGTCCCACACACCATCAAGGCAGCCGCAGCCTCGCCCGATACAAACAAGCATGGGTACGCGAATTCATTTATCTATTATGACGTTCAGTTCTGCTTGATTTCTAATCATCGTGCTGTCTTTCTCGCAGTCGGCGTCACATAGTGGACAGGCTTGCTCGGACTTCCAGGCATGGTGTATGGCCCACAAGGGCAAGGCGACGTCCGACGTCTCCTTCAACCTGGAGGACCCGCCCGAGGCATACACGAACCCGAGCGTCCACTCCCGCATCAGTGAGTACACTGAGGTAGCGAGGTCGCTCCATGGGTCAGACCACGATCCGAGCACCCAGGACTTCGCTGGAGAGACCGTCATAAGGGCGGGGCAAGGCAAGAAGAATGGATGGTTCTGGCTTGGCGACGGCGTCATCGACACGACCTCTACTCCCTCTCTCTCCCAGATCCGAGCACGGAGCACAAGCGAGAGCCCGGCCATTCGCACACGGCCGACCGCTGCACAGCACCGGGTCGACGCACTCAAGGTTATTCCTGTTTTACTCGTCATACATTGATCTTTACACACCTTAATTAGCTTTGCATTACTGAAACATTGGAGTGAAATATTGCAGGCCCGGCTGGAACAAGAAATGAGGCAACGTCAGGAGCTGGAGGCCGGGCACCAGAGGATGGCGGCCCAGCTAGAGGCCGAGCGGGCCGAGCAGGAGGCTGAGCGGGCTGAGCGGCAGGCCCAGACGCAGAGGCTGACGGACATTACGGAGTTCCTACATGGGCTTGGGCAACGTGTAGGCTTGTCTCTGCCAGCTGGGCTGTTGGTTCCACCTCTGCCTCCGCGTCCTAGTTCCACCTCTGCCTCCGCGTCCTGCAGCTCCAGCTACTCCTGTGAGTATAAAAGTTTTTTACTTTCGTTCGTGCTTTGCTTGTATGGCCTCTACCTTCTTAGATTAGCTATCCAAATAATCTTGTCTCACATGCAATCTTTTCTCCTTTGTGCAGTCTCCATCTGACGGTGGTTCGAATAATCCACCTCATGCACCTCCGAATGATGGAACTGGGCCTTCACCACAGTCGAGATGAGTGCACGTTGTATTCCTTTCATTTGTTGTTCACTTGGTGATGGGCTTGTGATATATTTGTGATGCACTTGTGGACTTTTGATGGACCTGTGGGTTTATTTGGATGGACTTGAGCACTTATTATTATATATGTGATATATATTGTGATGGATGTGATATGTGCGGATGGATGTGTGGATGGATGAGATATATATGTGATGAATGGGATATATGATTGTATGAATTTATTTGTCAGGATGGAATGTAAAAAAACAATAAAAAATACCATTTTGGGTTACTTTGCCGAGTGTTGCACTCGGCAAAGGACCACTTTGCCGAGTGCCATGGTCACAGCACTCGGCAAAGCTGGAAAAATCGGGGGTCGGAAAACCATTTTTCCAGCTTTGCCGAGTGTCATGACCATGGCACTCGACAAAGATTTTTTTTAAAAAAAAATTCAAACTTTGCCGAGTGTCGGCCAGAGGGCACTCGGCAAAGAATTAAAAAAAATCAAACTTTGCCGAGTGCCGGAAGGAGGGCACTCGGCATAGAATTTAAAAAAAATCAAACTTTACCGAGTGCTGGACAGAGGGCACTCGGCAAAGATTTAAAAAAAAATACAAAGTTTGCCGAGTGCCGGATAGAGGGCACTCGGCAAAGAATTTTTTTTTAAAAAAAATAAAAAATCTTTGCCGAGTGTCTGCAGGGTTGGCACTCGGCAAAGAATTTTTTTTAAAAAAAATAAAAAAATCTTTGCCGAGTGCCTGCAAGGTTGTCACTCGGCAAAGCCACTACCAACGGAGCCGGCGCCGTGACGGTCGCTTTTCTTTGCCGAGTGTACTCGGGGCAATCGGCAAAGCCTTTGCTGAGTGCCCGATAAAAGACACTCGACAAAGAGGTTTTTGTCGATTAATTTTTTGCCGAGTGTTTTTTTATCGAGTGCTGCACTCGGTAAAGGCTTTACCAAGTATAATTGGGCCTTTGCCGAGTGCATCAGGCACACTCGGCAAAGAACCCGAGTCCAGTTGTGAAGACTGCAGGACACAATGTCTACGGAAGAAATGGAATCATGTCGTCGTTGATATGGAAGCTCGAACACCTCTTCTGGCCGGACTAGGCGAACCAAATGAACTGAACTGAACTAGCGGTTGATGCCGGTGTGGGTGGCCAGAGCCCATAGCAGCGTGATGAACTCGCCACCCTGCGCCAACGCCTCCGCGTGACCCTCTATGTTACGGGAGGGCGCGATGTACACGACCAGCTCGGTCCACAGCTGCGCTAGCAGCTGCCACCCGCGCGCCACATTGGCACCTCCGAAGCCACACTCCTCCAGCAGCTGCCTCCCCAGCTCAGCGCCCATGGTCGCCGCCGCGTCGGGGTCTGGGCCGTCGATGCCCATCACCCGCTCCAGCCTGCCCCCCGATGCGCTCCTGCACCCCTTCCTGCGTAGGGCGCCATGGAGGTCGCGGGTCGCGGCCTTGTAGACGTGCTTCGACCCCTCCAGGTCCTCCGGGAGGAGCTCCGGCGCACAGGCCACCAGGTAGGCGCAGTATTTGGACAGTGTCGCGCCAACCGTCTCCTCCGTGCTCCTCCCAGCCCCAGCCGCCGCCTGAGCTGAGTTCTTCATCTCGAAGAGGCAGGTGGCGATGTGCCAGACGAGGATGACCTCGGTGACACTCCTGCTGTCGCAAGCCCACAGGAGCTGCTGGTAGCCACGGCGGTGCAGCACGGCCACCCCATTGCTGAGGGGCTCGCCACTGCCGCCCTTTGCCCTTAGGGAGGCGAACACCGCGTGCTTCACCTCCTTCGGCACGGGCACCGACGGCATCCCGAGGAACCGGTGCTGCAGCAGCTTGGAGGCGATCACCCACGGCGTGTGCTGGCGGAGGTCGAGGATGCACGCCTGGTTGAACCGCATGCCCTTGTGCGGCCGGCCGGCTCGTTTCACCCACAGCAACGCGCAGAAGGCTCTCTGCACCCACCGTGAGGACTGCCACCTGGGCCCGTGCGTACTCGCACAGCAGGGACACCAGGAGCCAGTCGGAGAGCACGTACACCACGAACTCCCACGCCTCCATGACAAGGAAGGTGAGGAAGAGCAGGAGGCTCACCAGGATGTTGAAGGACGAGAACAAGTCGATGGTGGTCTGGAGCACCTTGTGGCCGAGGCACTTGAAGAGGACGATCGCCCGGCGAGATAGCGTGGCGACGTCTCGGGCGAGGCAGCCGATGACGGGTAGAAGGGCGCCGTTGCCGGTGATGACGAGGGCAATGACGGCCTGGTTCACCACGATGAAGAACACGAAGAAGTAGTTGCCTACAAGGAACCATGGGCTGCAAAGCACCACGGGGACCACTGAGTGGTAGTAATCCATGACGAAATTGAGCTCCAGCTCAATCACGTGGAAGGCCCTCTCCGCAAGCTGTTTGCTGCTGCTGTCGTCGTCGCCATCTCTATCATCGCCATTGGTGCTATCATCAGCTCCTTGGCCACCAGCATCATCGTTGTTGCTGAGGCCACGGAAGATGAGGTCGCGGTTCTTCACCGCCACTTCCTCCTCCACTTGAAAGTTCTGGAACCTTGCACGCAGCAGCTTAAAGAGCGCGAAGGCGAGGCAGAGATCCATCAGTGTCGGGTGGTCTCGGTTAGCAGGCGGTCGGCCGGCTTGCCATCACCGCCTTCCGCCAGCTCCCAAATGTCACCGACGGTGACGAGGTCTTTCTTGTCGTCCAACTCTTGTAGCTTCACTCGGTATCCTTCGGGACCTGCTTGCCTCTTGAGCCTCTCCTCCCCCATGACTGGGTACCAGCACTTCCTCAGAAGCATTGTGCCGGTCTGCTGCTCGCTTCGGATCCCCTCTTCCTCCGTCATCTGAGCGACGTAACCCACGACAAGGTGTGCGTTCTTGCCAACGGCAAAAGAACGCTTGGCAAGCTCCACGGCGGCGACCCTCTGGGCCGCCTTGATGAGGGTGAGCACCCAGAGGATGATGAACCCCGGCTCCAGGATGCCGTGCACATACGAGTAGATGAGATAGCCGATCCACGCGATGCGGACGATCTGGTCGATGGCATCCCAGAGCGTCTGCTGGTGGTGGACTGTGCGCAGCGGGGACGAGCTCATGGCAGTGAGGATGGCATCCAGCTTCTTGCGCAGGAGCTCCACGCTGAGCATCCAGACAAGGATGACCTGGGCACGGAACGGCAGATCTCCGGCACTTAGGCTGTCCAGATTCTGCATCTTCTGCTTGGCGGCCTCTTCCTTGGCCTGGGAGAACATGTAGGACATGAGGGGGAGGAAGAGGGAGAAGGACGCATAGAGGAAGACGCGGACGGTGGGGTTGAGGGCGGCGCGGCCGGAGAGGCGGCCCAGGAGGCTGAGGCCGACGAGGATGATGCCGAGCACGAACATGACGGCCGCCGTGAGGACCGCGAGGAAGACGGCGGCCCCCGACTCCCTGCCTTGGTAGTACTCCACCACAAACCATCGCTGGGAATAGCTGCTGTTGCAAAACCTGTACGTTGTCGAGTTGATCGAGTAGATATCATCGCAGCCCATCCTTGTATGTTTGTTGAAAACTAACTAATAATAAATATCCTATATATATAAGCGGATGTGACATGCATGTAGTGTACCTATCACAGGCAGCAGGCGATTAAACAAAAGGCGATGCCCAGTTTGCTCCAAGTCCAAGCAAGACGACAAGATGCCCGCGCCGAAGTAAGTTCAGATCTAAGGATGGCAACGGGTCGGGTTCGAATCGGGTGGAGTCTCCGTGCACCCAAAACCGAAACCCGAAATCAAAACCCGAATCCGCCCCGAAAACCGATTCGGGTGGAAATCCATCACCAAAACCAAACCCGCGGATACCCGAAACCCGAACAGATACCCGAAACCCGAATGGATACCCGAAACCCGCGGATATATATACACATATTCACATGCATAAACAAGAGGCAACAAATAATAAATATTTTCATGAGTTAACTTTAAATAAATTTAATAATCTAAGTAAACAAATTATTATTAGTATATTATAAAACATGAGTTTTAATTCCAAATGATTTATTTCGGATATCCATTGGATATCCACGGGTGGAAAACCAAACCCGAAACCGAACCCGATTGGTTTCGGGGCCCCGAACCCGAAAACCGTGGGTGAAAAACCATCCCCAAACCCGAACCCGCAGAACCCGAAACCCGCGGATATCCGCCCCAAACCCGATCCGTTGCCATCCTTATTCAGATCAACTCCAAATTCTAAGTTTTTTCACTCTCTCTATCACATCAATTTTTGAATGTATGTATAGAGCATTAAATGTAGGTAAAAAAATAACTAATTACACAGTTTGGTTGTAAATTATGAGATGATCTTTTGAGCCTAGTTAGTCCATGATCGGACAGTTTATCAAATACAAACGAAACGTACTACAGTGTCCAGGTTAAAAAAAAAATTACAATCTAAACAAGGCCCTACTTATCGTACGTGCTTCACGGATCTTGGGCTTTCCGTGCGGGCTTAATTTGTCTTTGCAGTTCATCTTCTGGAGAGCCAAGAATGGGATCCTCTCGCTCTTTTCACTTTAACGAAGGCACGATGCGGTGGTCTTTTGATTTGATACAACCACTATACCACCACAGCCAATCTGTAGCAACTCTAAATCGGTCGCTATAAGCTGTTGTAGCGACCGATGTATAAGTCGCTGTAAATGGTGTCGCTATAAGTCTATAGCGACGGACAGGATTTATAGCAACCGATAGTTTGACGCAAATATCATCTGTCACAAGTTTTAGCGACCAATGGTTTGAGGATATCAAATTTTTTAGCAACCAATAATCAGTAGCTATGAACTGGCACAATTATATATAATATTAATTTCGTATTATCCAGATTTCAAACCTAATAAACATCCATAACATATCACATAACATATCACATTATCCATAACATCCATACATATAAAAATAGCGACCGATGATTTGTTACAAATTTATAGTGACCGATAGTTGGATGTTAATATTACGTTTTAGCTACCATTGTCTGTATAGTTAATGTTTGACTATTGTTTTATTAAAAAATTTGTATAATTATTATTGTTTTATCATCGAATAGATTCACTACTACAGAAGCGCTCTACCGAACCGGTTTGGAATAATATTATGAATTGACCAGTGGAAGGCTTCTCAGCAATCTGCATCTTGTTGGCCGAGTCACGGCAATAGAAAATCACGCCCAGCAATCGGCAGGCATTGCTGATGAATTGACGTCGTTAGCCTGGTCCTATAATAATGGTGCGAGCCTATAGTTTCTGAATCCAATGAATTTTCTAATATAATGCGATTTGGGTAAATTGGAGATCAATCAAATACTCCGTTTGTTCTAAATTATAAGTCGCTTTGACTTTTTTGGTTCATCCATTTTGCTATATACCTAGACATGATATTATATCGAGATGCATAACAAATTGGATATACCAAAAAAGTTAAAGCGACTTATAGTTTGGAACGGAGGGAGTAGCAAACAGATTAATCAATAAAAAATAATTAACAGAAAGGGTTATAGTAATTTTGTGACTATTATATACGAGAAAAAACTACATGAAAAATAATGAACAAGAATCCATGAAATTTCTAATCTGAAACAATTCGGATAAATTAGAGAACAAGACAATAGCAAACATAATAACCAATAAAAAGTAATTAACAGAAAAGGTTATAGTAATTTTGTGACTATGATTTACGAGAAAATAACAACACAAAAAGTAACGAACTCGAATCCATGAAATTTCTAATCTGAAACAATTTGGATTATGAAGCTTGCGGAAGAGAAGCTTTGACCCAAATTGAGGTACATTTTCTTGCATCTGTAGTGATATAAACATAGAAGGAATTAAATAGCTTGCATATGGAACCAGATCATCATGCATAGATTCTAATTAAAAAAGGACACATGCAGGCACATAAGTTTTGACCACATGCAGGCAAATCAAGTATAGCTAGCTCCTCAAGACCTCTATATTCTACTTAAATAAAGGGACATAGATTCTAGTAAAAGAATGTTTTCTACTCCTCTAAACCTCTATTCTACTACTTTTTAAAAAATAGCTCAAGGATTTAATAACAGACAAAATTAAAATAACTTATCAGATGGGATCACAAATCCATGCACTTTCTATACTATGTATCTAGACATCATTCAGTGCCAGGTGTTCGTGTTCGGGTCACCCTTCCTGGTGTAGGGCACGGAAGAAGGTCAAGGGAGGAGCGACTGGAGCACAATTGGATGTACCTGGATCAGTCGAATGAGTGGTGGGCGGCGGAGGTCCCTCACGTCGACGTGGTGGTGCTCTCCTTTGTTAGATTGTAAACCGGCCCGTGGGCCTGCCGACCCAGACTCCCCACGGTGCTTAGATGTACACACTGAGTTCCCTAGAGTAATACAGTGAGCATTCTCCAATTCATCTTCTCTCATGGTATCAGAGAGACGGTTCGCACCTGCGACCTCTCCCCGCTTCCACCATTGCACCGTCATTGAGGCTTAGCCTCGCCAGCCACCACTCCCACTCCGTCGCTGAGCCCTCGGCTTGTCGACCCCTGATCCCTCACCGACGCTGAGCCTCGCCGCTCGCCGGCCCCGATCCCTCACCGACGCTGAGCCTCGCCGCTCACCGGCCCCAATCCCTTGCCGCCACTGCGCTTCCAGCTGGCCGGCTCGCTCCCACCCGACGAGCCGCGGTGGCTCCCGACCACGTCTGCCTGCGCGGTCGTTGTCCCCATCGCTCGCGCGCATCGCCGCCCACTCCCACTTGTCTACTTGTGCCCAGTCGCAGTTCTCCGCTTTCGCGGGTCGTCCGCTCCCACGTGTCCACGTACTCGTGCGCACAGGTACATGTACTCCTTCCCAAATTTTGGTGTAAACAAATCTTTTTCCAAAATGTTTCTAAGATAATGCTCTATTAATTCATGGCATTCTTACTGCTTTTTTATTGTTGTTTATTGGACATTTTATTTCTAAAGCAAATGTAGAATGATCGTTGTGAAGCCACCTTAGGAAAAATGTCTTTCATACTTCGAAACTTTTTTTAACAAGCAACAGCCTACATATGTGTTGTTGTGGAGTTTTAGAAATTTCGGAACTTATTTGATATTTTCTATCGTTTAAATGATTTTCTGCATGGTTACAAAAGTAATTCCAAATTAAACTATGCGTACTTCCAATAGTCTCCATAAAAATTTATAAAAAATATATTTATGCTCACACATTTCACTCTATCCCATATCTTATAGTTGCTGGGGGGAAACATTTGTTTGCTTGGGATAATTCATCCTTCTATTTCTAAATTACCATAAAATAATTGCAATAATTGTAAATTTTGTTAGAAAATTCTATAATTTTGCATGTTGACATGTTTTTGTTACATAATCATTACATAAAAAACTCAAATGATTTTAACAAGGTAGTAGTATACATTGTTCACAAATTTGATAGATCTCTCACATAGTTATGTGATAATATGAAAGATCTATCTAATTGTGAACAATATATACTGCCACTTTGTTGTTTACAACTTTTTCATGTGAAATCATTTACTATCTCAAAATATTGTTTGAAGTTGTCATATTTTGAAATTCAAATTTTGAATTATTCAAACAAAGTAGGATAAAGAGATAACCAAAACAAAAGTTGTATATATCGTTGGTTTCTACAACTTTGTTTTTGACGGCTTTTTCATTTGAAATGATTTACTTTCTCATAATATTGTTTGAAGTTTTCACATTTTGAAATTCAAATTTTGAATTGTTGAAACAAAGTCAGATGGAGAAATGGATAAAATAAAAGTTGTAGGTCTTGATGATTTATAAAACTTTGTAGCAGACAATTTTTCTATTTGAATTCATTTATAGTTTAAAAAATTAATTACAATAATAACTATGAACTTTACTAGAAATTTAAAATAAAAGTAACACAAGACAGCAATGGGCCTAAACCTCAAAATGAACCCGTTACTATGCTCAGCCCATAATTCCTGACCATCGATTCAAGATCCTACGGCCATCGTTGCACCCACGAAGTATGAAAAGGACTTCCCAGCCGAAACCCAAACCCTAGCCCTCTCCCCGCAGCCGCGCTGGGCCGCTCGCCCCGCACCGCTCGCAAAAGCTACGCCGCTCGCTGTGCCAGGCGGCAGCCGACAGGTGAGTTCGGGCCTGAGAGGGGGCTCCGGCGTGGATCCGGTGAGGGACTGAGGGAGGCATGGATCCGGCCATCTATTCCCCAAGGCATGTCGGATCCGGTGAGGGAGGACGCAGTCGGGAGGAGGCAGCTGCAGCGGCGGCTAGCGCGAGCCCGGGAGTCGACGGCAGCGGAGGGCGCTCGACCGCTCCTCCTCTGCATGCGGTACTTCGTTCCGTGGCCGCCGCTGCGCCCATCCGGCAAAACTCGAGCTCACAGGTACATGTACTCGCACGCCCCTGCCTACTTCCTTTACCATTCCGTGTCTGCATTGCGTATGAAACCTCTTCAATCAATGCTCAAAGGAATTATCCTGGGAAACTAC